AACAACTGAATACTGAATTAAAACTGAATATTGCACACTGAATATTGAACATTGAATATTGCACTGTGCAGTGTAAACCAAAGTAACTTTAATAGTATTTGAACACTACTAATTAGCTCCCACTAAACCAAAGTATCTTATATGGTTCCATTCTCATACGAGCAATATGCTCACTATAGAACTTATGTGGAAACCCTTTAGTAATTAAGCGGATCCGCAATCGTGGAAGTTATATGAATATGTTCAATAACTAATTCATAATATAAAGTCATACAATTAAGAAACTGATGATTATTATTATCAAATAAGGTACTAGTTCTAACGAATTTTGAATTTTGGAAGAGACAAAACTCTATATCCGAATGAACAATAATAACTGAATTTGTTCAAAATAGAGATCGAAATTAAATTTTGACTAAAGATGGTACCATAAAAAAATGTCTTATCCAAAAATAAATAGTAACTAGTACTCAATAATAATCTAAAATTGTCAATGACTTCAACTTTAACCTTCTTGCCGTCACCCACATAGATGTATCTTTCAACATCAATTGATTTCAACAATAAAATAATATTGCATAGACAAACTGATGGGAGTTGTTACACCAAAATCCACCCCTAGGTGTGTCTATGTACTGAAATTAAATTAATTTCAAGAGCAAGACTAATAGGAAAAATATATCCTCTGAAATGTCTAACTTAATGCCCTCAATTTAGTAGCAATATTAGACATGTTCATGATGTACTCCCTTATGTTATGTTTGTCGTTATACTTTATGGTATTGAGACTCTTAAGAAGAGTACGCATTTTTGCCTTATCGCTTTTGGTAAAGCGTTTCTTAATTTCGACATGGAATCCATATCATCATATATTGTACTCCTAAAATATATGGAGTGCTTTTCTTAATGATAATTAGACTTAGGCGTTGGAACTATCCTACTTCTCAAATAACTGAGTGTTTCTCGCCGTATGAGTGAGTTGGTCTATTATTAATGCCAAGTCAAGATTCATGCAACCAAATAAATCATAATAAAGCTCAATAATAATGTATTCTCATCCCAAGACACTAAGTGCAACATCAATGATAAATCTTTGGATCAATAACATTGATTGCTAGCAGTCATCTTGTTGCAATAATCATATACGGATAATAAGGTAATGTCAAACAACAACCAATCTTTGGACTGATTTACTATTCACATAAGTTAAATCCATATAATCATCCCATACATACTATCACAGATGTATATTTCATTCTGTCAATTACCGACTGCCTTTGGGCCAAAGAATAATCACATGAATTAAAATACACATAAACACTTACGTTATCAAGAAAAAGAATCTTATATAAGAGAGGTTACTTTGACAACGTCAAATACTTGATCTTCACCGTCAAAACGCAGCATGCATTATTAATGAATTTATAATTTTCTTAAACTAAATTATAATAAGAATCATGTTCAATATATACGGGTCTAATTCCATAGAAAATAAAGAATGCTTATTAGCAACTGAATGCACATGTCTATAAGCTACTGAATGTTTCATGTGTGAATTTATAAAATAAATTAGCAATCTTATCTCAAGTTATCAAGCAACATCAGCAAATATCTTTGGACAAATTACTGACTCGCCAGTGATAAACTTATTTTGACAATTAAATGTAGACAATAAAGTAGTGTGTCAAACAACACTCCATCTTTGGACAGATCTATTATCCACACACAAACAATCAAAATTATCATCACCACATTCAATGTCACCAAACATGTATGCAACTACTTAATGACTGAGTTGCCCTTGGGTCAATATGTAGCCTTATCTGTCACACACAGCTTTCTAATACACAAAATAAACTGATTTACACAGCAGATGCTGCTTTGGCAACATGATTATTTCAACCAATTCAAAAAATATATTATATTATTTATTGCTAATTAAATTCACCTTAAATAAATCATGTATTTATTTTCAATACATATTAAAACTATAACAACAATAATTAATTTCTGGACTTATTAAAATAATCAAGTAGTCCAAGAAAGTAGTAAATTCAGCGGAATTATATAGGCAAAATATGCTACCCAAAGAGACTATAAATTAATACACCAAATAATTATAATCGAATTTGAATATACGCATGCCGTCCAAATACATGCTGATGTAATCCAAACTTAATTGGACTATCAAATGAATCACAATGAATATTAGATTTTATAAAATCAACACTAATGAACAAAAAAATAAATTATGCACATATCAAATTTAATTACATACACATATAAATTAATAATTTCTACAATCATTAAACCGAATGCATATATATATATATATATAAATTGAACTTCAATCAACATGAATTTTAACATACGTGCATAAACATAATTTTACACCTAATTAATTTACCATAGTACACATGCATGCAAACATGTATACAAATGAACACATGCAGATACACAATCACATTCATAATCTAATACGGCTGCTTTGATTCATAAAATATTATATATATATATGTAATAATATTATAAAAATTAAAAAATAAAATTAAAAGCAATCTAAATGGATATCAAATCGTCTAATTGCAATAAACGTCTATTAATAGTATAAAAAATAAAAATAGACATCAATTTGTGCAACAAATATAATGTGTGTCTCCATGCCAACGATTTTGATCAAACAAGTGAATTAATCCATAGATGCCAACGCAGTGATCAAGATAAATAAATAAGTAAACAAACAAAGCCCAACAATTTCATTCCAATAATATATGGATTCATGCAGAACCTTTTTAATGGGCATGGATTCGTGTTTGTTCTCAAATTCAATGACATATTATGATATCTTACGATATCAAATTGATCACGATTCTATAATCATATACATCAATTGCAAAGAAGCGAATACAAACGCAACGGCAGACGGATATAATGTATCGACAAACTTATAATGAAAATTCACACCAATTTGATTCCTATCCATTGATAAATAAAATATCTCAATGATCCAATACGGAAAGGCTCTGATACCAATTGGATTTAAATTTTACCTTAAATTCACCCAATTTTGATTTCAATTAATCCTAGAAGAACGAATTGAACATGAATTAAAAATCTAATAAAGATTTGTGTTGTGTGCGCATCGAGTCAATTTGATTAAAAAACATAATTGATCTGACCAAACATCTCAATAATTTAACACGTAAAGGCTCTGATATCAATTGTTGGAACTTACCAAGAATTTAACCCTAAGCCCAGGATCTACCGTGTTGTAATAATTGAGATAAGAATAAAGCAAATTAGATCTAACCTTATTCCTCAGCATAGTCGGATTCAGATCTGCAAACAATAGAGGGTTTTGTGTTCTTCAAGCCTATGGCGCAACCCCTCCTGAGAAAACCGCCAGGGTTTCTGCTGTTACTCCCACGATGAAATATGGAACGTAATGGATGTTTCATCTAGACCTGGGATCACAACCCTATTTATATCCCTTATTATTAATTGACCTCATCACCCAATTAATAATTTACTGGGTTTCTGCACATTGGAGGCCCGTACTTACTAAATACATTTAAGCCCAATAAATTTATAGATCACTTAATATAGGCTTAATCTGACTGATAGCCTAAATAGTTACATTTAACCCACAACTGTATTTTTAATCCAATATCCGAACTCAATATTTTTCTGCCATAGTTACAACAACTAAGGAAATATGAAAATTTTAGCCAAGTAAGTGGTGATGTGTTTAGAGATTCATATATAGTTAGTCCATTAGAAAATCACCCTTGATGTTTTAGCTTATGGAAAAACTAACCCTCTAAATTAACACAATAGCACAATCATATAATTATTCTCCATAAAATGCATATAAAATATTATTCCAAAGAGGACTAAATTGTAAGTTTAATAAAAGATTAATTTTAATTGCTTTCAGTTAGGTTTAATGTTAGTGTATTCTTTCGTTATTTCTAAAAGACTTATATATAATTTAGAGACACAAAGGATAATGTGATTCATTTCCAAATTAATAAGAAATTGTGTATCTTCATCCTCATATTGGTTTACTGGATTTAATTTTTTTTTTTACAATGAAATCTTAGTTTTGTTTGATTTTCAAGTCAAAGTTTTGAATGAATTCGGATTATTTTATCATTTTAACTGTTACTTTTACACAAATTTTACTATATTTTATTTCTCTTTAATCGCTTTTACTTTTTGGTGTTAGTTTTTTTTTTCAAAATATTACTATTATCAGTATATCGAATCAAACGATTTATTATTGAGCGATGATTTTAACGCTTTAAATATTTTCTTGTTCACTAGATACTAATCTTCTACTATTGTCACCTAAACTCCAATTGATGAATTGAACTTTGTAAGTTTACATCGATAATAAGCACAAATATATTTACAAGAGTTGAGTTGAAAATAAATACTATCGAAACAATGAAACCATGTCGAAAGGGTTTGCGGTGTTGTACTTTTTAAGGGATAAAATATGCTTTTCAAGACAACAATTTGTAATTTTTTAATTTCATTTTTAATACTTTATTTTAGAATAACCAGTACTTCTACAAAGTGTTCGAGATATTTCTTTTTTTGCCTTAAACAAACTTTATTCGGTCGAGACTAATACTTTTTTTTAAGAGTTGATTTTTTTTTTTCAAATTATTTCTAATATCAGTATATACATCGAACGATTTATTGTTGAGTGATCATTTTAAGATTGAGCACTACACAATGTTTCACTATAAATATTTTCATACTACAAAAAAAATATCAATTTGCAAGGGAAATTTACTACCGTATATAATCTATCACAAAATTGGAACATTATTTACTAGAATAAAAGAAAAGGGTCGTAGTTATGATGCGTTGTGAGGAAAAATTGCAACTAATTAAATCTGTAGGAGAAATCCTATAATTTACACGTCGGATATGTAAATAAGTCACAAAATTGCAATGGAAATAGCCAGAAAATTCATCCGTCCCAGAAATCCTATAATTTACACGACGCATAATTCGGCCCGTCGCAATATTGTAGGGAAATCTGCTACAATCTGAATCTCTTGCAATTCCTACAATTTACACTACGAATAATTATGTCCGTCACAATATTGCAAGGGCATCCGCAACAAATTGAATCTCTTGCAATGTTTAGGTATTTATTCCCATAAACAAGATTACAATTCCGCGCAAACACACATCACGAAAACACACCCAAACACATCCATTGCACCGGCGACATCTATTCCGGCCGTTTGGGAAGTTTTATCACCGCTGACGGAGCTGAATTTGGCGGCAGCTGAGGTATGGTCAACTTTCACCGTTTGCTTTTGCTCGGGTAACTTGAAGAATCACATGTGTAAGGATTCCAGGGTTTTGTATTATTACAATTTGTGTTCGATTCATTAGCTATTTGTCTTGTTTCTTGTTGTTTTTGCTTATGACATCAATCCTTAGGAATGTGTTCAATTAATTTCAATTTAATTGTTCGATTCATTTCAATTTCAGGAGCTATTGACCTTGTGTTAATCAGTTAATAGATTATAATTTTAGTTTTTCTTTGTCTTCTCAACTAAGCTCTGTTCGTGGTTTTTTTTTTTTTTTTTAAAGAAATAGATAGATTGATGTATGTTAGAGTGTTCAACATTAATATATTAACTCCGTAAGTAATATAAGATGATAATGTTTCAGGACATCATAATCTGAATACGGATGCACTTTAAGCTTATAATAATCAAAATAATATGATTGCAAATACATTAGACATTCGAAATGGTTTTTCATAATGCTCAAATTTACTAATTACACCTTGTTAACAAAGCATTGGGAATTTAAAGTTGGTCTCACATTTGTTGCAGGATTGAGTTGGTGGCAGCTTGACTCCCCCATCAGAGTTGGCAATATCCAAGTCAGTTGATGACTTCCTAATTTTCATTTGCAATGAATGACTATGATCTAATGGATTTAAACGATTACATTTTCTTTTGGGCATTATTGAGGCCATTGTATATGTGACTCTGATGCTTTGAATGAGTTTTCTGGTATATAAACATTATTATTTAAAACCTATAAGTATAGGTATTTATGCTTTGAATGATTGATGCCGGTAGATCGATTTTTACACAATTGTATTTCGGCTTGTTAGTATTTTGATAATAAAGTTTTATCTTAGAATAAACTGCAAGGCTCTGGATGTGGCTGAAATAATCATAATAGAACAGTCCGATTTTGTTTGTTTTACATTTTTAAGTTTTCTTCTATTTGAAATTTTCAATTGCTTTGTTTGCAATATTCACAATGAGTGCAAAGTGTCATGTATGAGCTTATGTCTGATCCTACAAGAATGATTCAGTTATAATTTAGCTAAAACATATTACTATCTAATCATTTTCAACCATATATTGAAATCCAATTACCATATTATTTGGTGTCATGTGTCTATATGGTTTTTACCCCCAACCAATTGGGAATGACATCTTTCGTTCCATTTATCAATATTTAGAAAGTTCTATGGATATAGGTTAATGATTCTGTCCCAATTAGAAGAGCAAAAGGCAGTTGAACTCGAGAGGAGGTAAAAAAGAGATGCTCTTTTATATTGTGTTCAATCTAGAATATGTTTTTGTTTTGACCTCATATATGATCTAGAAGAGGGGAGTTTAATTGTTGCACATAAAAGAATTCTAGAAGTTTAGTACTATAATTTTTTTGACATTTCTTCTTATATTCTGTTGCCAAGCATGAAATATGCATGTAATTAATAAGTGTAAACGGCTTTGGTTCAGGATGATACATTGAAAAGGGCTGTTGTAGCTTACAGGGGAAAGTGTTGGAAGAAAATAGGTATATTTAGGTCAAAATATCATCTCTTTTGTCTAATATTTAGTTTGCAGCCTTTTTTCTATTTGCAACATAATTCTTATTGAAATTCTTTGATTGATTCGGTTATCTTAATGCTTGTTATGTTCTATTCAAGTGTTTGACTTTTAGGTATCCAGTAGATTCCATCACTTTGCTGCCACACACATTCTACTAATTATTAGATTGGAGTTTAAGTAACTGCTTCTTGGAAGTTGTGATGAAACTCAAATGTTGGCGGCACAAATGGGAACCAGCTGTAGATAAAACTGTAGTACGTAGATTTAAACAATGGGAGATGTATGAATAGCTTCCTTACACATTTTGATATATAAGAGTTGGACTGCAAATGCTAATACCTCTTCATTCTTCTGTTTGATTACTCAACTAGATAAAATGCGGTTGCAAGAATATAAAATATGTAACTGAAAGACTGTTCTTTGAGTTGAATAAAGTTTTGATAACCAATAACAATCCAATCATAACCATTGTTGTTCTTAGTTTGAATTATCTTCTCAAAAAGATTGGCATTTATGCACCGGAGTTCTGTCTGGATAGAACATAAGTTCAGTGTTATAGATGGCAAAAGGTTCTGAATCCAAATCTTGTTTAAGGTCACTCGACTCAAGAGGTTGGTTGTTTATTCCTCCAAAAACATGTATCAACCATTCTAATATTATATGTTTGATTACAAGATTTATGTTCTTAGAGGATGAGAAAAAACAAAACTAGGGGATAAATATGGACCTAAAAAATGGCCTACTATAGCAAAGTCTGACTAAGCAGTTTGTTGTGTTTATTCGGTGATAAGTTAATTTTCTCTGATTATTGAGAGTGATTAGTATTAGCTAATAAAATTAACCTTTATAATTGCTCATGCTGTCATTTTTATTGTTAGAGAATCCAAAATCATGAATTCCTTCAATTTTTGGAACACTTGGTAATTAACTGATCAATATATAGTGCACTTGAATGATTTTGTAATTTGTAGTTGCCATTTGTGACAGGTGAAAAGACTACAAAGAGCTTGTCTCAAAAACCCTGTTAAGGTAGCTGTGTGATTGTTTCCCGTTAGTTTTCAATAAAACATTCTCTACACAATAAATTTCTTATTATTCTAAGTTTGAGTATAGATTGAAGCTGCTTCCAAGTATTATACCGTTGATACGCTGAAGCAACAATACTATTTTGTTTCTGCAAAAGTACAAGGTCCATAGGTTTTCATGATTTTTTTCTGATGTGATTTTTCATTTCTCTTGACATTGATACAAATATTTTCCCCTTTTTCTACTTTAGGATTGTTATCTTGTATATATATTGACCGAAATGTCGGGAAGTACATCTATGGTTTTCACCCGTATATATGATGCAACGGCCCTTTTGACTTATATGCTTTGGAATCTTGGATTCAGAGCCATTCCATTAATGGCCATATGACTCAGATAAATGTCTGTAAACATGCTTGTTTTCGTCATCTCGTACCTATAATATTATAGCGGTAACTGATAACCCCCCTCTCTCTCAAGAATTCAAAAATCATCACAAGAATCCCAACAGTACTGCATTTGATTTTGTTTGTAGTTTCATTTTTCATCATGTATGTATGTTATGTATACCTTTAGTTGAGAGCTAGCTAGCTACCTTATCAAATTCAAAATAGTTGTTTATGCAAGTAAGTTCTTGCATGTGCTATGTTAGTTATGTAGACTTTTGTGATCAAAAGAATATTTCGACTGCAAGATAGCATAGAGTTTGTATCTCATTTGCATCTCCTCAAAGAATAAATCAAATTAGTGACTCTTTGATGGCTTAATATTGACATGGGATACCTATTGCTAGTGTTACCATGATGTAATTTTTTTAGATGCTTTTGAATCCAATATACAGTGTTTTTCTATAACTTGATTTCTTAATTAAAAAATGTGAATTATATTGTTGCCTCACTCTTTCACGTTAATATAAATGACCTCTTGGCTTGTTTCTTTCGCAATGTTTGTATGTGGGATTTGTGTTAATCAACATATTTCAAGTTCATCGACTATATTTCTTTAATTGTGTTGGAGTTGTGTGTCAATGACAGGTTCTGTTTTTGATGCTTAGACTACGTAGCATGTCTTGATCATGTCTATATTTTGGAATATAGGCAAAATTTTTGAGAAGTTCTACTATCAATAAAGTTATTGTTTTGTATGACAATGACAGCATAACACCTTGAGGCATAAGGATTAATAAATTTACTATCTTTTTAATATAAACTTGACATTTACTTAATTTTTTTATTACACAAGTTATGTATGGTTATTATAATTTGATTTTTTTCAAAATGATTATGCTCCAGGTACACTTGAAATGACTTCAAGAGGTTGTCTAGAAGTTGATTTTGAAACGATAGCTGGATATCTCATTTAAGTTGCTCGTATTGATAGCTCTATACAATAAGAACATGGAAACAACCAAAAGGATTTATTAAAGGACTTGAGAACAACAAAGAAATCATTGAACTTTGGAACTGGGTAGGAAGCTTTGTCGCAATTTACCATGACGGGATTTGATTGATGATTTATTATTATATGTTTTTTAATTACCAGTTTAGTTGTTTTGTATGATATTTTGGTAAATGGAACTAGATTTTATAAATTTATATAACATGTGCTACTAGGGGTATTGATATTAAATATATTTTATTCATATGTGGTTTATTATACTCTATTTGATTTGAAATTTTTATATGATTTTCGTTATTTTTCATATCTTTGATGAGAGATATTAATCAAATCATTAATTTTTTTTTTTTTGTGGAGGATTGAATTAATATTTGTTATATACGTCCCGGAAAAATTGGCAAAAGCGTATACTACACAAATTGCGACGGAATTAACAATAGTTATATACCATCGCAAAATGTTAACTTTACGACGTTGCAAAAAATTGCAACGGAGTCAGCAACAAACCATTTCTCTTGCAGTGAACTACGTCAATAGTATCTTTTTGTAGTAAAATTCCGTGGCAAAAAATTGTGACAGAAATAATGGTCACTAATTCTGTGGAAATTTTCTGCAACGAAAAATATTAATTGTCACATTATATTACTACAATAGTATTTACTACTGCTCCCACTTGGATGCAAATTCCATTGTAATTGGAAGTTGTGACGGAAATTTTGTCTGTTGTGACGAAATTTTTTCGTAGTAATTTGTAAATTTTTTTTGTAGTGATGTTTTCTATACTAATCTTGTACTATTGTGACCTAAACCCCAATTGAGTGAATTGAACTTTGTAAGTTTACATTGACAATAAACATAGATAAAATTTCATGAGTTGAGTTGAAAATATATACTATCGCAACAATTAAATCATGTCGAAAGGACTTGCGGTGTCGTTTGTACTTTTTAAGGGAGAAAATATACTTTTTAAGATAAAATTTTGTAGTTTCTCGTTTCATCTTTAATACTTTACTATAGAGTAACCAGTAATTCTGCAAGGTATTGACAATACATGCTTTATATAAGGTGTTGTATGAAAAAAAGACTATGTCCTTTTCATATTAATTTTTATAATGAATAAAAATATTAAATAGAATGCATCACCAATACATATAACAAACAACGTATCAAAGAGCCAATAATGTAGCTCTAATTTATAAGTTTCAAAGAGAATCAACAACTTCATTTTGTTCTTCCAAAAAAAACAAGTTTTAAAAAGTACCCTTAATAAAAAATATTATATCACTAATGCAGTGGGGGATGTTTGCATGTTCTTTTATTGGAAAAATTGCAAAACATGCCCTGTATGTAGGTCCAATTATCATTTTCAAATATTTTTTTCCACTTTCGCAATTTAGGATATTATGTGTACTCCGGGCGTTATTTTTGCCCTCCGGCACCGGAAAAATGCACGTGACCGTCACGTGCGCCTTCGTGGCATGGCCGGCGCATACGTGGACTCCGCCGTTGCTGTGTTGTCGTCCGCGTGGTCGTCGGACAGGTGATGTGGAATTATTGTTCTTCCACTTTCACAATTTAGGACATTATGTGTACGTTGGGTATTATTTTTGCCCTTTGGTGCCGAAAAAATAATTTGTTCTAAGTTTTTAATTTTAATTTGGTCCAATCGGGCCAAATTTAAATTATTAAAATATATAATTTTTTTCTTAAAAAATAATTCCACGTTATCTATCCAACGACCCTAGAATAAATTGTTTTTTCGGAACCAAAGGGCAAAACCAATACTTAGAGTACACATAATGTCCTAATTTGTGAAAGTAAAAAGAAGATACTTCCACGTCACCTGTCTGACGACCACGCGGATGACAACATAGCAACGGCGGCGTCCACGTATGCGCCGACCATGCCACGAAGGCGCACGTGACGGTCACTTGCGTTTTTCCGGCACCAGAGGACAAAAATAATGTCCGGAGTACACATAATGTCCTAAATTGCTGCTTTTCATTTTTATAGGAGTAGGTGCTTGCGAAAGTGAAAAAAAATGTTCGAAAATGATAATTGGACCTACATACAGGGCATTTTTTGCAATTTTCCCTTTTATTATATCCAGACCTTTCACAATTTTTGCATTTTCAAGGTTCAATATCAATATGTAATAGTATTCTTTTGCTTCTTCATGCCCAAGTTGAGGACAAACATTTGGGGAATGAATCACATCTTCAACCTCAACTTGAGAGCTATTAAGCTCAAATGTTGGAATACGATTTATCGCCACTTGATAGGCCTCTTGGTACATGCCTACTTTATAATATTCATCACAAAAATTATACAATGATATCTCTTTGTGATGTATAAAAGCACATGCATGCTTGTAAGGAATTTCATATAGTTTTCATTATTTGCAAGTACAAGTTCTCATTTGCAAATCAACTGTGCACGACTCATCATCACCAACAACATCAAAACTCTATATATTTGATCTATCAATGTGAAGTTTACGAGATGCCAAAGATAGTTGTGCCAACATCTTCTCCTTTTTTGGACGCAAGGTCCCTATCATACTTAATGATTCTTTTCTTCTTTTTTTGCATCATTATCGTGATTTTTCTATGAATATTGTCAACCATTCTAACTATAGGCATGGATCGTGTTTCTCTAACCCAATCATTCCAACATGTGAAAATATTATTGTTAATCACCCCCCACCCAGATTTCCTTCAAAGATAGAGTTGGCTCAACACTCGAGGTGAGAACGTATACTAAAATCCCTAGCAAGTGGCATAGTTTCCAAAATTTTACTTATCTCTTCTTTGGACAATTGTCTCTTTGGAGCATTTGCAATTGTTTGAAAAATAATTCTCCATGATTTTTTGTTGTGATGTGGGTAACTTCTAATCACCTATAAAAGAAAAAATAAAACATAAATATCATGTATATATATATATCTCAATATTATTACAAAATATAGATATATTTATCTATTTTTTAAGTTATCTACTAGGTGTCTTAGGCAAAAAACATCGTGACTATCAAGAAACAATATAGGAATAGCCTTAAGCAATCCAAAATGACGGTCTGAGAAAAATATGTATGCATTCCACCATAATCGACTATTCATACCAATGATGATTCTCAATTAAGAACAAAGCCATTTCCAATTGTTATTATTTTCGGCATCCACAACTCTATTTAACGAATAATATAAAATGATATTAAAATTATACTCTGACTCTATCAATACATGTATATATGAAAATTAATTCATATCAATATACTTGCATATACAACGGTAAAGAGATCATCATTTTGATCAAGAGTCCCAACACTTAATAAATAACCATGATACATAGTTTTTATACGTGTGCCATAAAAATAAAAAAGTAATGATCTGCATCATCGGATAAACCCAATCAGACAAGCTTCAAAGCTCAAAAATAACTGTTGGAACTTATTAGTGCTAGGCTCAATCTTTAAATCGACCATACTTCCTGGGTTAGTATGCTTTACTACAACAAAATACCAACACAACTTGTCAAAACAATTTCTTCCAGCCCTATTAATATCTTTAATTGCATTTTCTTTTCCTATCCACACTTTCTTGTACTTAAGTTCAATGTTATTATTGATCTTATAAGATGGCTCATCTTTCAACTTTTCTTTCACAATATGTGATACCCATGTCAACTATGCTTTTGGATGACTTCTACTTTGAAAACTTTCTTGCCCACAACTATGATACATGTTACATTTCCTAATGCAAAATAATTCGTTTGTAACATGCTTCGAAGCATATATCCTCCACTGACAACTTTTCACCGAGCAAATGAAAATAACTTTTTGTTGATCATTTTTAACATACTTAAATGACTTCAAAATTGTGATACTATCATTCTTGAAATCTTTTCGAAAGTTATTTGCATTCTTAAATGATTGTCTTTCTCTATTTATGTCATGACGCCATGCATCTAAGAAGTTGCTTTCATGATAAAATCATTTTCATTAATTATTCCCAATTAATAAAGATATTGATAAAATTATAATTATAACCATCAATGAAATTATAATTAATAGGTATATATAATAAATAAATAATATTATATTTAACATGATTTATCTAATATTATACATACGTGGGTCCATTTTTTAGTATATTTTATTTATTTTTTGTTTTTTTTAATGTAATAATTTTTTTTTGGTTATCGCGGTTGTCGAGTGCTTGATCGACCTGCCGAAGGTCCATCATGTTGCTAGGTATAAGTCATTCGGATTAAACATACAAATCCTTTTAATTAAATACTCCCTCCGTTCATATATTTATCCTTATCCATATTACTATAAATACGAGAATTTAGGTAAAATATAATTAATAAATAATTAACAAGTATATTAGTAAAAATAAGGGTAAACTATTTCTTTTAATCCCGTAACTGAACTCTCTTATTATATTAGTCCCGCAAGTGGAGTCTGTCGCAAACGAGTCCCGTAAGTGAAGAATTTTTGCTATTTTAGTCATCCAGCGCTAACCTGGCGGACACGTGGATTTTATTTTCTTTTTCATTTTTTTTAATTTTTTAAAAATTTATTTTTAATTTTTTTATTTGGTCCAATTGAAAAAAAATAAAAAAATAAAAAATAAAATAAAATAAAATCCACGTGTCCGCCAGGTGTTGATAACCTGACGGACACGTGGCTTCCGGCGAGCCACGCGGCCATCTTCGGCGCCGGAGGACTAAAACAACGAAAGTTTTTTACTTATGAGACTAGTTTGCTACAGGTCCACTTACGGGACTAAAATCCTAAAGGTGTCCAGTTACGGGACTAAAAAAATAATTTACCCTAAAAATAAATATAGATTAAAATTAAGATAACTAAATATTTTAATTAAGATTAAGAAATTATAAATTATGAAATTTACAATATGATTAAAGTGTATAATTATATTTCCAAAAAATGAAAGGAGAAATTATGTGGAACAGACGAAAATGGAAAAAATAGACATTTTATGTGAGACGAAAAGAGTATATATTAATCAATAATATATAAGGTTATTTTTTTAATGAGATGCCATTTTGAACTGTAGAATCAGAAGGATTTTGTGATTGCATTAGCGTCATTCAACTTCGATTAGGAATCCCATCACAAAGAACTATTGTTAGAGATTGCATTAATATTATTGATATATGAGAAGTTAAAGTTGGAGACTTTTGTCA